TGAATGGATTCCTTTCAAACAACACATTTGAAGGTTCATTAGAACATCTATTTCCTCAAACATCAATGAAACCATTCCCGACGAATTTCTTGTTTCCATTGGACCATATCTTGTAGTTTAGGATTTAGGTTATTTGTTTTCATGAGAAAGTGATGATCATGTTTTTCTTGTCAATGCATGAGTGATAATTATTTCTCTTGAATTAATTATTTTTGAATGCAACTTGGGGACACATGATTTTTGATGAAAAAAATTCTTGATGTGTAATCTATATGTTGAAAGACAATTTGTTGTGTTTATTTCTTTTTAGAGATGATTCTCTTGAGTTCATTTTTTCATGTGCACGAGTCCAACTCTGAGAAATTTAATTGAAAATTATTGTGAAGTTGACTAGGTCATATTGCTTATAAAAGCTATAAAGGTTATTGCTTAAAAGAAAAAGAAAAAGGGAGCATGCGTTTTTTTTTTTTTTTAAAAAAAAAAAAAAAAAAAAAAAAAAAGATAAAATTTCAGCATGAAAAAAAAACAAAAATCAAAAGAATGAGTAAAAAGAAAGGAGGAGACAAATCGAAATAGGGAATTGCTGTCTACTCTTTAGAGTGAAAGCCACCTTGCTTAGAAAAGTTTGCTCAAAATAATCTTATCTTGATACTTTTCAATCAATATGGTTTGGACAGTTGATCAATGTGATTTGATTGAAATTGATGAGATTGGATTGCATACACAGACATGTGAACTTATTACGCAAATTTTTAAATTTTTATAAAAATTGCAAGTTGAATTTCATGTTGTGATTGTATGCTCAAGAATTGAGTTGATTGAATAATTTGTGGGGTCAAAAAAATTGTGTTTTAAAATTCTCTTGAATTCTTTAGAAATTTTTGGATCTCATATATTCTTGAAATTCATGGAAAATGCTATCTCGTATTTTTTTGTTAAAATATCAGAAATAAATGAAAAAAGAAAAAAGAAAAATCCAAAAAGATTTTCCTTTTAGTTTTTATTAGGAATTTTTGTTTTTAACGGGATGGAGATATTAAATGTTTGATTTTGAACATGATTGGTGTTATTTATCTTATGGATACTTGTCTTTGGTTCCATTGCTACTATATATCATCATATTTTTGTGTTTATTGCAATATCTTATGCATGGATGATAGTTTTGATCCTCTTCTTGTTTATTCTCCAACATTATTTGTTTTCCTTTTTTGATTGAGCTTTATTTGTCAATTTGTAACAAAAAGGGGGAAAAATGTGCATATTTGAGGGGTAGATATATATATATATATATTGATGTTCACATATTAATATATGTTGATTGTTTATCTTTCTTGATTAAGCTTCACGGGTAGTTTTGATGAGCTAATGTGCAGGTTACAGGTTGTTACATGTGTTGAAGATTCACGATGTTCAAGAAGAATTCCGTTTTATTTCTTTGACAATCATTGTAATTTACTTTTTCTGCTTAGGTAAATTACATGTTTGTTTTTAGGGTTTTGTCACGAAATTGCCAAAGAGGGAGATTGTGAAATATATATTTTGGGCAGTTTGTGACAAATATATATATATATATATATATATATATATATATATATATATATTGTGTATTTGCTAATTTCGTTGTCAAAACAAGTCCGATCGAGTTGTTATTTTCTGGTTCACAATTTCAAGCTTGAAGATCGGATACAGTTTTAAAGAAGTTCAAGTGGTCATGGTATACTACACTCCGAGATGATGGGAACAATGCTTTAGGAAGTTTGGAGAGGAAGTGAGTACACGTAGGAAGAGTTTGGAAGTTTTAAAGGAAGATTTTACTTTTTATCCATTTTGAACTGGTTCCCAAAAGTACTGAATAGGTTTAAGATCAGCGAAATCGGAAAAATTCAAGACTGGTCATCTTGAACCGGTTCCCAAATTCCTGAACCGGTTCAAGAGTCAAAGGAAGCCTTCGAAATACCTTCTGGCCATCTTGAACCGGTTCCCAAATTCCTGAACCGGTTCAAGAAGTCTCGGCAGCATTAGAACTTCAGTTTCCTTATTTATTCTGATTCCTTTTTGGACTAGATTTCCTTCCAAGTTCTATGCACGAATTTTTTTTTATATTTTCAGAGGGATTAGGACATTCTAAACTTTATATAAACCTTGTCATACACATAGGTTTATTCACGGCTTTTGCATACAAAATTCAGATTTATTAGAGAGCCATCTTTGAGAGATATTTTTTCAGAAAATCAATTTGATTTTTCTGATTTTATTTTATATAGTACATACATAAACATAAGAGTGATTTAGTAGTGTTGTTCTCTATCTCATCAGAATTGAAGCATAATTGAAGATTCAGAAATTCTGAAAAGCAAAATTCATTTGTTCTTCGTCAAATTCAGATCTAGAAGAAAAGGGGTAAAGCGATCACACTTTGAAGGGGTTTGAGCATTTGTGGAATGTTGTCTGATCTACCTGCAACTCTTCTATAGAGATCGAGAGCAAGCCTAAAGTCGAGAGCTGTTGGATGGGGGAGTCGCAAAGCCAGGGATTGTCAGCAATTGGTTTTTGGTAGAACGATAGGGTATGAGACTGAGTCAAAGTTCGGTATACTTTGCTTCAAACATAGTGGATCGTTTATCTCATGATCGCATAGTCCAACGAGGTTTTTCCTGTTACAATTGGTCAATTCTACCAATTGGGTTCCTTGATAAAATCCTAGTGTCATCTCTCAAACTCTATGTACTTTACTTGCACTTTATTTTTGCTTTGTGGTGTGATTTTAGTTTTATTTTGGTAAAATTAAAATAAGTAAAAATTAGATAAAAGAGTAAGTTAAATATATTTACCATCTTCTAGGTTATCCATCCATATTATATTCCACAACCATTCCGCTGCGCACAAACTCAACATTTCTTACCCCCTAGGTATATTTGATCATAGTCCAATCTTGGTTACCATTGATTTTAACATCCCCAAAAAAATGTATTCCTTTCAAGTTCTTTAATGCATGGTGTTCTCATCCTCTTTTCACCCCTTCAGTCTAAGAAGCATGGAGCTATTTCATCTTAGGTACCTCTATGTACCAAGTGGTTAAGAAGTTGAAGAAATTGAAACATGTCCTTAGGAACAACTGCAAGAAAGACTTCTCTGATGTGGATTCAATGTTACAGGCTGTCAAATATGAGCTTGAATCATGCCAAGTTGATCTTGATCATCACCCCAATAAATATTGGAAAATGTTTCAAAATAATAAAATTAATATTTTTGAAAATATATCTATATATAATTAAAATTAAAATTATTTTGATTCATTCTCCTTGAGCAATAAAGTTTTAAATATGTTCACATATATATGCATGATTCATGTATAAACAAAAGACAGGTTTTTACAAGTAATCTTTTCGCAGTCTCGATAAATCTATTTGATTAACCTCCTTTGACAATGAACATATTCTAAGTTCATTTATTAATATTTAGGGGATATATTTTGATTAATGTGGATACATGAATGTATTTATATAAATTCATTGTGTTGGAACATGAATATTCAAAATTCATGTATCTTGAGTTTTGAACATATTTACGAGGTTCATTTTGAGAGGTCTATATAATATCACACTTCCCTTATTCAAGGATGAAAAAATATGGGTAAAATGGATGATGTGTGGAGAAGTTCAATCTCATCTTATACTCAAGATTTTCTTATCTAAAATTTTAGAAGTTTCTCTTCTAATGTTTATACTTGGACATTCTGAAAAGAGATTAAGTATTGCACCCAATAGGGTATTGTGCAAATACATTGTGGTTGGATCGAATCCAGACTTGGTTGAATTGTGGAGGTAGAGAGCTACCATGGTCCCTTGCACCTTGTGGAAGGCTTTGACTATCTTTAAGAAGCATTTACGTGCCTCGAAGCAATGGTCCGGGTTTTCTTGATTAATGATTTCCGCCGTATGTGTAAGTGCAAGCAATTTCTTGATTTATTGTAATAATTTTTTCCAACAATAACACCATTTTAAGACAGCTTGAGCAATCTCTCACCTCGGAATACTTAAGGCTTGGCAAAGTGCAAGAAGACGTGCTCAGACAAAAGTCAGGGATGCTCTGGCTCAAGCTAAGGGATTGTAATTCTTCCTTTTTTTTTTTTTTTTTTTTTTTTCTTTCAAAAATCTCTCTTCCAGAATCAATAGGAAGAAAATTGTCAGCCTTGCCACAGCAAATGGAGATGTTATAGATGATTTGGAGGCGATCAAACATGAAGTGGTACTCATTTCCACACATTTCATCACTAACCTTTCTCCATTCATTCTTAAATTAGTCCCATTTCACTCACATGGATATTTGGATGCTATCCCTTCCCATTTAGAAATTCAAAATTGTATATCGTCTCTCAAGAAGGATAAAACCCCGGTCCAGATGGCCGCAATGCTCTCTTCTTCTAGAAAGCATGGCACATTATAAGCAGGTCAGTCACCTAGGCTGATTGAAAAAGCTAACAATGTGGATAAATAAATAAATTTAAAATAAAAAATTAAGTTTACAAAAAAGGTTGGCAATCGGAATGAGCTAACATGATTTTCAAATAAACTCCTTACACCTTACTGTTAGAAATTTAAACATATAATTCTCTCAATATCCATTCATTTGGAATCCTATATAATTGAGTCCTGAATTATTCGTTAAATAAACAAGTGGATTAACCATAATTTTGAGACTTATTTAAGAAATGAGCCATAGTGAAAGCCTAACTATATTTTAAATTCTTATATATTCATATGTACAAATGTAAGGCGAAGTTGACATATGTTGTTCCATTAGGCCCAATCGATGACTTGGTAAAAAATCTAGACACATAGACACCCTATTAAACTCAATATAGCCCAGTAGGCAACAGCCCATAAGCTATACAGGATTGCTGTCAACCATTGGATTGCTGTCAACCATTGGATTGCTGCTCTCAATGGATAGAATGTAAACCCTAAACTGTTTATATCTATCTATTTATAAAGGTAAGTTTTTCAGACGATACAATCTGCTTAGACGCTCCGCAGGACGCAGCCTCCGCTATAGCCTCAGGCTCAGGTGACACCGTGACAGGGTATGTTCATCCTCTCTCTCTTCTCTCTCCTTTTGCATGAATCGATCTTTTTTTTTTCCCTATCCCTAACTCCACTCCGATCTCACAACAGCAGCAACCATACCCCTTTTCCTCCTAATTTTTTGCATTTTGACGTTCAATCCTACGAAAATTAAGGATCCCTTCTAGTGGGTTGAGGAACTGAGGGAAAAATTAACTTTTTCGATCTCTAAATTATGCTCATACTTAAAAGTGCCAAATTAAGGGTTTTTATTTATTTATTTTATTTTATAATTTTATAATTTATTTTTATATGAAGATACATACCACCATCATATTTGAAGTTGGCTCAGCTAGAATTTCAGTTAATGATACTTTTAAAGGCTCAAAGCACTTGCCATCAGAATGTACAAACACATGGAAGTCAAGAGCAGGCTTTAACAAAACAAAAGTTAATGGTGGGGTAATTGGCTCCCAAAAAAAAAAAAAAACACAAAACACAAACAAACACAAAGCTCCAGTGAAAACTCCAGCCAGGAGATCATAAGCCAAACTGCTTGATTTTAGGTTTTTTTTTTTTTTTTTAATTTTTTTTATTGTATGGTCGGCAATGCTTAGTTATTATTGCTTCCATTTGATTCTCCATCCATTTTATGTTAATTGTGATCTTCTTTCATATGCTAGCAGGACACTCTTCTTAGGACTCTTACTTGTCCGGTTTTGTAATTTGTATACTCAAGCACATACAAGTACCATTTCCTCAACTAATTTAGTTTACTGATTAAAATTTCTCAAATTTGGTGTATTTGAATATTTGATTTTCTCATTCAATTTTTATTGATAAATGCTTATATCTAGTGTAAGTTGCTAGGAGGAATAATAGCAATTTAGTTTCATTTATGTATTTTTAATTTATTTTCTTAGGTTAAAAATAACAATGGCTCAACATCAACCTTCAAACAAGAAAGTGAAAGTATGTCTATTCTCTCATTCTATCAAAAGAGAAGCCAAATGAGTGAGGATGATCAATCGAAAATGAATATACCTATTGCATCTAACATTGACAATGATCTTGATTCCCAACCTCCCACCCTACCTTAAGTTGTTGAACCCAAGCAACCTAACTCCACTTCTATTGAAAGAGATCCTGGGCTACGTATTCAAATACATGAATAGCCGATGAATTAAAGGGATGGGATTAGACGAGCTTATATCAATTTAGGGCCTTATCAACCTGAACTTTCCAATTATTCCAAATCTTGGAATGGAAAGCAGAATCGGCGATTTAAGTGTGAATGGTTCAATCATATTCCTTGGCTAGAGTATTCTCCTTCAAAAGATAAAACATATTGTTTTAGATGCTTTCTCTTTGAAGAGAGAAATACAATGATGAGTCGTTCTTTACTTATTGATGGTCGCTATTACAATTGGAAGAGAGTTAATGATGGAGATAATTGTGTATTCTTAAAACACATGGGACTTTAATCTTCACTGCATAGAAAATGCGCCATGCTTTATGGAAATTTAAAGAAATCGGCACAACATATTGAGTCTATTATCAACGAATTTGAGTCCTTAAAGACTCGTCGAGCACAACTTAGATAGATATTTTGTAACCTTTGAATTCAAATATTTATCTAGATTATGCTATAAAACTTTTTTTTGCTTAAGAAATTGTGTTATTAAATTTATGCTTAATATTAGTGCACCCCTTGACAATTTTAGGATCCGCCCTTGCATACACCCAACGACATAGCAGAGGCAACACTAATCGGAAAATCGAACCCACCGATCCGGCGAGAAACATGCCTCCTCAGTCATCAGGTTTCAAACTCCTACTCTCCCCTACTGATTTCTTCTTGTTAATGTTTTTATATTACACATTCATATATAAATAGATATATAACTTTTATATTTTTCTCTCTTTTGTCTTAATAATAATTATAATATAGGTTACTTTTCTGAAAGAAAAGAGTTGATGGGAATGGGTGGAGTTGGCAAAAAAATATAGGTATGCTTTTTTTGGAGATATTACCATACTTGTTTGATTAGATGCTCTATTTTGTACATTAAGGATGTGACATTAATTATTAATTGCTTTTTCTCATTCATTTTAAAATATTTATGTTCACTCCTGGCTTTTTCTTTATTTCTTTCTCCTCTTCTTCTTTCTTCTCTACATTCACTCGTGGTGACAAATTACATTAAATTTAGCGAAAATATGTTGTTGTTCTGGATATGCTCCCCTCTTGAGCGTAATTTAATGAAAGTAACTTATCAATATATATATATTTGAGTCAGTTTTTGGAAGTCAACCAAATTGACTGAAGACAATTTTGGTTTTAATATGTTTTTTTTTTTTTTTTTTCAAAGGTTTTATTTCTTCAAAATTGGAAACACCCAGCTCCAGTAATCATTATACATCAGTCCTTACGCACATCCAACTTATGCAGTTGTGCATGGACCTCGAATTGGAAAATCCAATTGAACTTGGATATCAGATGTATTCTAGCAGATGTATTCTAATGAATTTTTTTTTTTTTTTTTCGACTCTTTTCCTATCAGATTTAACTCTGAAAAACGTCTATGAACAAGATTTTCATATTGAAGGATACTTTTAAAAAATGTTCAAGCTTTATGCTTACTTGTGTGTCTTGAGAGAGAGATTATGATTGTTTACTCCTAAGCTATTTTTGCACTCAATTGCCGTGTTAGTTTTTGTAGATTAGGAACAAGTGTCAAGAGAATAATCAATGGAATTTTTTTTCCCTAAGATTCTAAGAATTGAAGCATTCTACAGGGGTTAAAAATCATTGTACACTTTTTCATACAATAAATTGGTTTCCACTAAGATTAGGGCTGCAAGTTGGGTTGGCCTAACCCAGCCCAGTCCCAACCCAACCTCAACCCGAATCGGGTTGGGTTGGGCCAACCCGAATTGTACTCAATATGGGTTATGATCATAACCCTGTCTGAATATTTTTGGACGGGTTGGGTCGGGTTAACTGGTTGAAAACTTTTTTAAATTTTTTTTTTTTTTTTTTGGAAATTTATATATATATATATATTATATTTGATTATATTATTATTAAAAACAAATTTTATATATATATATATATTATATTTTATTTAAGGTAAATCATTTTAGCCTTCCCCAATCGCCTCTCTGAGAACTTGCCTCCCCCCCCCCCCCTCTCTCTCTCTCTCCTCTCTGCAACAACTGCAAACTTCAAAATCTATAGGAATCAGAACTTCAAAGCCCATATATTTCAGTTTCATCTATCTGTCTGCAACAATCAAAAGTTCAAAATCCATATCGGCATATCATTTCAGATTGTTCAAAAAATCAAAAACCAGATCTTTCAGTTTCCATCGCCCGTTGTTCCAGATCGGGTTCGCCGTTCGCAAAGCTTCAACCGCTGTCTCTCAACTCTCAACCATTTCAGATCGTTCAAAAAATCAAAACCCAGATCTTTCAGTTTTCATTGCCCGCTGTTCCAGATCGGGTTCGCCGTTTGCAAACTTCAGCCGCTGTCTCTCAACTCTCAAGCTTACCCCCCCCCTCTCTTTCTGTAGATGCTAACTTGAATGTATGGGACTGTAGAGAGAGAAAGAGAAAGAGAAAGGAGAGAGAGAGAGAGAGAGAGAAGAGAGAATGGAGAAAAAAAAAAAGAGATTTTTTATTTTTTTTATTTTTGGGTTTTGGGTTGGGTTCGGGTTGAGCTCGAGCCCAACCCGAATATGTCTAGGTTTTGACAAAACTCAACCCGAACATGAACCCGATTTGTAAACTTAAAGTCCAAATTTCAAATTTTCGGGTTGGGCTTGGGTTGGGCTGGGTTTACTTGCCCAATTGCAGCCCTAATTAAGATAACATAGTGTAGTCTTCATTGTTTTTCTCGTTTGGCTTTTCACATTACAAATTTATGTTATTTTATTTTTCAAAAAAAAAAAAAAAAGAGGTATGTTTACTTGCATCCTTCGTAAATTGATTAATTTAATAATTAAAATTCAAATTGAGCATCAAATTGAGAGACATGTTTACTCCTTCTACGTTATATCACAGAGAATCCTTTATGTTAATTCTATCTATTGCAAATTGTGCTACTTTCATGGTTTAGTGTTTGTTGCTCTAGATATCGAGCAATATTTTATTGCTTAAAAATAGTTCTAAAAAAAATATTTGATTTTTTAGAGCTAGGATGAGCTGATTCCTTGATTCGATAAATGAAAAGGAAATTCTTTTGGGGAGGATGGTCTTGTCTTCTTAGGAAGGAAAAGAGTGTTACTGCATCTTCAACAAGCTTGAATATAGCAAGTATTTGCTTCTGAACCTCCATGCACTCAATCATGCGACGATGACGCTCTATATCATTCTTCTACTGATAAGCTACTTTCGCATTGGTGGAGCCTGAGAACTTAGGTGGGCTCCCCTTTATGAAAGAACTTCTGACCTTTTCCCAATTATTAGTCTGAACCACTAGTAATGGTACATGTGGCTGATTCTAAAGTGCAGCTACAGCTTGGGCAATGATGTCAGCTATCTGAGGAGGATACTCGAGATCCCTATCTTGATTGTGGTTATGATCCTGAGGTTCCTGATACTGCTGCTGCTCCTCCTCATGAGCTATAGGCAACTGTTACTCTTCCTCGTGGAACAAAGGTGTATGTTGCTCTACTGCAGCTTGCTGACGTCGTAGGAAATTCTGACGCTTAGGCTCCACCTTCCTTAGCTGCCTTTCCTTGCGAATTTGTTCCATTTCCCATCTTCCTCCGACGTTAACCATTTGGTTAGCATAGTAAGATAAAAATCAGTACGCAATTTAACGGACCGTAAAAGAATACAATGAACCCTGATAATTAAGCTCTAAACAAACAAATATGCTACGTAAAAGTCGATAAACAAAAGATCCCTAGAGACGCTTGAACATGGAGTGCTCTGATACCAATTGTGATACTCCCTAATTTCAAAGTCATTGGTTGATCAAGTCCATATCTAAAACCAAGGATATTAAAACAATTAGGTAATAAACGAACACAAAATATAAATGGATAAATAAAGAAAGAATAAATGTTGAAAGAAAAACTAAAATAATAATTAAATCCTCAATAAATAAAATCCAATAAATAATAAATATCTCTGATACCATTAATCCTCCAAAATACATTTCGGGAATCCATGCTATGTGGACTCCTAATAAAATCCCAACTAAAATAAATAACTGTCTAAAACTGAATGTTAAAACATAAATAGAATCCTACTTAAATAACTAAAAAAGTGATGATAATTGGTCTATGCTCTGCACGAACACAAGCTAAGTCTGGAAGATGACTTGAAAAATAAATATTGAGTCACACCCACAAACAAGTTTTTTCTACTACATCCCCAAACAGTGACCTAATGAACGAATACATCTTAGTCAACTCATGCAATAGCTACATATTCAGTATACGTATATAAATACACACTAAAGACTGTCACTGAACTATAGGGAACCCTCTAAATCCATGCATCGCAGGGGCAATATAACATTCCTAACCATCGATCATGAGAATTCAAGCTCATATTATCATAATAGATACTACATACATAAATATATAGCCATATCCATATCCATATCTTGATAATGGCAAAATCGATGTCCATCATTCATATTTTGACAATGACATGACAAGGAATGAGTCTAAACTTATTAACCAGCTCACTCTTAATATACAACTATATCCTGACAATGATGTATAAATCCGAAACCATATCTTTATAATGGTTCACACACAATCAAATGAATAACAAATCAAGTATAAGATTATAATATACTATATTTCATAACATACTGTAATGACATGTCTTAATATTTCTTGGGATTTGTATTTTAAGTATATATATATATATATAGATTCATTGTGATTTGTATTTGTATCTAAATTTATGTTTCTGATATTTTATATTTATTTATTATTATTATTAATTTTTTTTTTCTTTAAGTGGAAGCATGGCATAATTAAAAACTACTTCAAAAATTATGTTTTTAATCTGAGGGTCGTCGCCGAGTGGTGTCGAATACGGAAGAACTTCTGTTCAACCTAGGACGTTGCCAAGGAGACCTTCTCGAATGTGCCGCCGTCACACGAGTAGAGAAAGGAGGAGGAGAGTATGGCAAGATATTAATGGCCACACAAGGGTTTGATTGTAGAAGTATACTTTTGAACATATTTTAAAAGATGCCGAATCTTCTTTTATTTAAAAGTATTGTTTTGAACACATTCCAAATTTTTTTTTTTTGAATTTTCATTTATTTATTTTTTCTGTCCACCAGATATTACTGCTGCTCAAGTGGTTGAACTAGCTATCAAAGATATTAACACCTTGTGGCGGCTTATGGTGGGAGTGATAGGTCGGGATTTATTTTTGTTTCTTAACCGACTGAATTGGTAGCTTTCACCGACTCAGCGAATAGTAAGTACAATGGGTTACATTTATTGTTTTTCTAATAATGTTCATTTATATATTTAATCTTCTTCTCACCATATATATATATATATATATATATATATAAAATAAGGGTCATCAAGAACACAAAAATATATATATATATATATTTTTGTGTTCTTGATGACCCTTATTTTTGGGATGATGAGGATAGATCATAGAAGCTGTTTCACAAGGAAAATTTGGCACCTACACTAACTTGATGAAACTACCTTTAAAGCTATAAGAGACCCTTTACGTACCCCAGTATTTCCATCCCATATATGTGGACGAGTGGAAAATTTTGCTAAAACAAAACACAACATTAATATACTGATGCAGGACCGTTAGCCGAAGGTTTTGGAACTCGTTTGGATCGTCAAAAGGTCAAACTGGTGGGTTGATCAGTTTTTATCGGATGATTTCGAGGAATCTTTTTTTTAACCCTGAAAGAGTCCAGTTTTAAACGGCCCAACTCGCAAATATCGGCAGCGTAGAGTGTCTTTTGGCACAATTCAATCGTTTAAGGCTCGGGAATGGTGTTTTTTCAATTTGGAACATTTCAGGATTTTCGTTGGAAGTCTAAATGGATTCGATTTGCATTGTTTTTTGATATTTAGTAGTTGGTTGTAATTAGGTTTCTTTCCTTATTTTTACAATAGAGCAAGTTTGTTTTTGAGCAGTTTCCTTGCGCCGCTAATTTCCTTACGTTTTTAAGATTTCTTTTATATTGTTATGAGTTTTATTTATAAATACATGTATTGTAGAGTAGATCATTCATTCAATTATTAATATATTATCAGATTTCTTTGCGAATTCGTTCACTCTTAATATACAATTATATCCTGACAATGATGTATAAATCCGAAACCATATCTTTATAATGGTTCACACACAATCAAATGAATAACAAATCAAGTATAAGATTATAATATACTATATTTCATAACATACTATAATGACATGTCTTAATATTTCTTGGGATTTGTATTTTAAGTATACATATATATATATAGATTCATTGTGAATTGTATTTGTATCTAAATTTATGTTTCTGATATTCTATATTTATTTATTATTATTATTATTTTTTTTTCTTTAAGTGGAAGCATGGCATAATTAAAAACTACTTCAAAAATTATGTTTTTAATCTCAGGGTCGTCGCCGAGTGGTGTCGAATACGGAAGAACTTCTATTCAACCTAGGACATTGCCAAGGAGACCTTCACGAATGTGCCGCCGTCACACGAGTAGAGAAAGGAGGAGGAGAGTATGGCAAGATATTAATGGCCACACAAGGGTTTGATTGTAGAAGTATACTTTTGAACATATTTTAAAAGATGCCGAATCTTCTTTTATTTAAAAGTATTGTTTTGAACACATTCCAAATTTTTTTTTTTGAATTTTCATTTATTTATTTTTTCTGTCCACCAGATATTACTCCTGCTCAAGTGGTTGAACTAGCTATCAAAGATATTAACACCTTGTGGCGGCTTATGGTGGGAGTGATAGATCGGGATTTATTTTTGTTTCTCAACCGACTGAATTGGTAGCTTTCACCGACTTAGCGAATAGTAAGTACAATGGGTTACATTTATTGTTTTTCTAATAATGTTCATTTATATATTTAATCTTCTTCTCACCATATATATATATATAAAATAAGGGTCATCAAGAACACAAAAATATATATATATATATATTTTTGTGTTCTTGATGACCCTTATTTTTGGGATGATGAGGATAGATCATAGAAGCTGTTTCACAAGGAAAATTTGGCACCTACACTAACTTGATGAAACTACCTTTAAAGCTATAAGAGACCCTTCACGTACCCCAGTATTTCCATCCCATATATGTGGACGAGTGGAAAAATTTGCTAAAACAAAACACAACATTAATATACTGATGCAGGACAGTTAGCCGAAGGTTTTGGAACTCGTTTGGATCGTCAAAAGGTCAAACTGGTGGGTTGATCAGTTTTTATCGGATGATTTCGAGGAATCTTTTTTTTAACCCGGAAAGAATCCAGTTTTAAACGGCCCAACTCGCAAATATCGGCAGCGTAGAGTGTCTTTTGGCACAATTCAATCGTTTAAGGCTCGGGAATGGCGTTTTTTCAATTTGGAATATTTCAGGATTTTCGTTGGAAGTCTAAATGGATTCGATTTGCATTGTTTTTTGGTATTTAGTAGTTGGTTGTAATTAGGTTTCTTTCCTTATTTTTACAATAGAGCAAGTTTGTTTTTGAGCAGTTTCCTTGCGCCGCTAATTTCCTTACGTTTTTAAGATTTCTTTTATGCTGTTATGAGTTTTATTTATAAATACATGTATTGTAGAGTAGATCATTCATTCAATTATTAATATGTTATCAGATTTCTCTGCAAATTTGTTCATTTGTGAACAATCTATCGCTTCCGCTTATGTCATATATACAGAAATGGCTACGAGCACTACAAGAAGGGTGCCGACAAGAAAGAAAATGAATTAAAAACTAATTTTGTTTAACAAATCTAATAGTGTGTATAATATATGTATATTATTTTTTTAACTTAATTATTTGCAAGTCAGTGATGTGGCTTATAGCAAGAAAATGAATAAATTCTAAAATACTCTTGTTCTGATCTAAAAGACATTTTGACTTCTTATTTGTGGGATAGAGGTATTGGGGTGTATGGTTAAAAGCTCGGTGGTTTTAATGTATACAAGTTATAAAGCATGGACACCTTTCCCAGGGTACTGTAGCAGTGTCGGATGCGTGTTCGAGGCTTGGACAGGTGTCCGACTCTTCTGTGAAGTGTCCAGAAATTTTTTTTTTTTGGATACGAGTTGGACACGGCTGGGACACGCAGAGGACACGTACCAGACACGACGGGTTATATTTTGCAATTTTTTTTTTAAGAAAAATGGGGTACCTAATGTAAATTTAGAAGTTTAACTCTTTTGACTCTTTTGTCTGTGATTCTGAATTTCTACTTTTATTAAATTTTATGATTGTATTATGATTATTTTTTTATTTGATACATTCATCTTAGTACTGGAATTAAATAAACTTTTAGACCGTATTAACAAAAAAAAAAAAGAGATGGTGAGCGCTGAAAAGTGCGCATTTAAATCCCTTAAGCGATGGTATTTTAGTCCATTCATCTATCTTTATTTACCCGTTTTAGTACTTATTTGTGTTTTTGTCTATTTTAAGTCAATAATGTTAAAACGGGCTAAAAATGACTTCTTATAACCTTTTTGGAGTCAAACTAAGCTTTAGTGAGAATTTGGAGCGAAAGGAGGATGATGCTGAAAATCTGCCAAGTTGGATCCATCTAACTTATTTCTGAGATCGATCGAAGTTGGATCGATCGAACCAGATTGATCAAAAGTTGGATTGATCGAACTTTCTCTGATCGATTAAAAATAAAAGTTGGGTCGATCGAACTGTTCGCGAAAGGTATTAGAAAGCAGATCTGAATCTCATCTCGCCCCAACTCGGGCTGTGCTTCAAAGAACAGATTCTAGGGCTGAGTTTTCACCTTTTTGGGCTCTCAAAGCCTTGTATATAAGAGGGATTCAACCATTCTTGTAGAGACCTATATATATTTCATTGTAATTTCTATATTCTCTTTAGTTTTCTCTTTGGAAAGTTAGAGATTAGGGTTAGAAGAAAAGAGGGAAGTGGAGGCACATCTCAAGATCCTCTCTTTCTCTTTAGAGCTTCAAGGAAGAAGAAGAAGATGGAGCCATGTTTGGAACTTACCCTTGAGGGTTTCATGACCACATCCACCTTCTCCATGATTGGCTAGATCTACACTTAGGGCTTGGATGAGCCTTAAGTCTTGTGTAATCTAAACCCTTGTATTTATATTTTTGGGAATCTATATATATTGTTGTGATTAGTGTTTTAGCCTTGTGAATTTCATGAATCTTGGTATATCTCTATGATTTCTATGGTTTAATTTTTCTTATTAATTCTCTAGTTTATTTACATGTCTATGTGTGATTAAATTGGAAATTATGTCTCACATGATTCATATGATTTAATTCTTCCTATTGATTATCTTTGTAATTACATGTCTTATGTGTGATTATTTGTGAATTGATCTCTACACTAGTTTTTCTATATTAATTGCATGTCTATGTGTGGTTGATTGAGAATTTGAATGGGTTTGTCAATTAATTTGATGGATTATTCTTACACTTGATGGGTTGTCTACAATTTAATTCATGTTTGTAGGTAGGTAGACAATCTATACTTGATTTGATATTCCATGGCTTATTATTGCAAATTCCATGATTATCTAGATTGATGTGTGCTACAATTGTTACTAATTTGATGGGTCATGCTTATAATTGATGGGTTGTGCTACACTTAGTTTAGGTAGACAATTCATTCTTTAATTTGATGGTCCATACTTAATATTGCAATTGGTAGTCGCATTTTGTTCACAACAATGTATTCCCCATTAATGGAAAGCAAGTGGTTAATTACATGAGCTTAGTGCTGATTCCAACACCCTAAGACCTCTCTTATATCTCTTAAATCCCTATCTCTCATTCGTTTACTTTATTTGCATTTTAATTAATTAATTTCTAGAGTAAACAATCAATCTTTCCTTTGTAATCTTGCGATTCACTAGAGTCGAAGTTAATTTCCAACATGTATAATCCCTTGGGATGATCCCTACTCACTCTTGCTACGTTAATAGTAGTGTTGGTAGTGGTTTTTATAAATTTAAACTTGACCCAAAAGGCTTTTCTTGAACCGCACATTCACTACATTATTTTGGCGTTCACAAGCAGCCTCGTCAAATTTTGGCGCCGTTGTCGGGGATTGACGGTTTTGTTGGAATTAAACTAGACAATAGTGTTCATTTGATTGCTTTTATTTTTATTTTAATTTCCATTGTATATTCTTTTCTTACTCTTGATATTATTTGTTCAATTAGGTACTTGACTACAAGGAAAGCATACATTGGATTTTAAAGCAATCATTGGAGTTTAAAGCTAGCATTGGAATTTGAAGTTGCTTAAGGACCGTTGTGAGCAATTCTTGGAAATCTCGTAGTTTAATTGTTGCACTTCTTTGAATACTTATGATAGCCCTTGTTGAGGCTCATTATATTGCTTTATCTTTGTCCAAGCATAGGTCCTTGTGGAGGCCATTATTTCTTGCATTTGGATTTTAATTGTGAATTGAGGAATTGTTTGATCCAAGTTTGGGGGGGAATTATATCCCTTCACCTTATGTCCTTCCACCATATTTTGATCCTTATGAGGTTGAGTTCACTTCATTTCAACATGCATCATCTTATTATAGACTTGATCACTCATTTAATCCTTCTTATGACTATTACCCTCCCCCACAATTTTATGAAAAACTAAATCCACCACCTTCTAGGTACTCACCCGGATATGAAAAAAAAAGTGTTAGCTTTACTTGATGTGCATATTTCACACACTTTACTTATTAATTCTTATTCTCAAATGTTAGCCAAGCTTGAAGCTCAAGTTGAGCAAATTGAAAGTACTCTTTCTCATCAAGAGGAGGAGGAAGAGGCAAATGAAAAAATGGCAAGAACTTTAATGTATATAGATGAGGATGATGAGAGTGAAGAGGAGGATGAAGCAAGTGAACTAATGCCTAGCACTCTATCTTGTATAGAGGAGGAAGTGGCAAGTGAGTTAGTGGCTAATCCAATAGAGCATAACATGATTAATGAGGACTTTCCTTGTTTTGATTATGATTTTATTTCAGACATTGCTACTTTAGAGAGTGAGGAGATGTTGACCACTATAGAGGCAGGAGAGGAGGAGGAGGAACTTGTTGAAGAGAGCCTTCCTTCTATTATCTCCAATGACCCTCTTGAGGAATACCTTTTTGAAATGTATAAAAATTGTGGTTTTGACCTTGAAAGCTCCAAAAATGAAGTGAACTCTCTGATGGACTCCTTAGCTAACTTGGAAGGTGAGGAGATGGTGATTTTTGAGAAGGAGAAAAAGGATGAAGAGAAAGTGTTCCTTGATATTCCAAATGAGTCTTTGAAAGACATTGACTTGCCAATTCACAAAGAAAGTGATTCTTTGAATACACTTCAAGAGCACAAAATTGAGGCAAGGGTAACAATGATTGATTTTGTTTTCAAGACCGTAGATGAAAGGAACAATATCATCTCTTTCATTTCTTTTCAAGTCATTCTTTTGGAGGATGATTTCATTGTTGTAAGTGGGACATTAAATGAGAAAAGTGAAAAGATAATCAATAAGGATGTTTCATATCCAGTTTTTGATTCTTTTGATTAGTGAGTTGACCCAACTTCTTGCTAGAGACGTTAAACACTAGTATTCGTAGAGTTTCAAAACTCTATTCCTCCCTCATTTATTTATATTTTAATTTTTTGTTCTTGTGTACATTTTTCCATTCATTTTTCAATCTCTATTTTTGTTACCATCATTAGGGCTCAGCATAGGATTTTATGCACTTTCATCTCAAAATGAGGCATTTAGTGCTAGTTCGATTGATCACAAGAGCACCTTCGATCGATCGAACATTATTTCTGCATATTTTCATCTCTCTGTTCCATCGTTCGAAGAAAACCTGCATATTTCAGCTCTCTGTCTGATCGTTCAAACTTTATGTTCGATCGATCCAAGTTAATTTGATCGATTCAGGAGCCCTCATGATCGATCGAAATTCCATACTTAGAAAATTTTTCAAAGCACTGCAAATTTCATACTCTCTATCCCATCGTGCGAACATGATCTATCATAGCTTTGCCCCTTTGACTTTTTGACTTTTTCCTCTTTCTATTTTTATTTTATTTTATTTTTCATCTTCTTTGACTTTTGTTATTTCTTTTATTTTATTTACTCTCTTTTTTCTTATAAAAAAAAAGTTTTACAATTTGTTAAAAATATAAAAATATTTTTGTTTATTTTATTTTATTTTCGAAAACTCCAAAAAGATTTTTATTTTATTTTATTTTTATTTTTACTTTCAAGATTTATTTTTATTTCAAACTTTTTTTTTTTATAAAAAAAATTCCCAAAAATATTTTTCTTTTATTTTATTTCCTTTAATCTTATTTCCAAAAAAATTCAAAAATATTTTGTTTAATTTTAATTTTTCTTAATTTTTAATTTTTAATAATAAAAAAAAAAAAACGGTTTTTCAATGTAGCATTCCGTCTTGCTAGAGACGTTAAATTTAGCACCCACATGACACATTGTGTCATTTATCTCTTGTATTATACATGCTCATTTTTTTTTTTTTTTTTTTTCTTGTATTTTGTTTCATTGTACATACTTTAAAATAAAAAATAAAAAAAAAATTACATTCTTTTTTTCATTGCATTTTCATTTATTACATTTTTATTTCTTTGCA